ACTGTATCAAACAAAGCCTAACTAACTTTCAACAGGTGCCAACCATGCCTACATCAGGCCTTTCAGATTTGTTTTAATCAGCAGGTCTCTCTAGACAAGTAGTAGCAGTGATAACATTCAGTCTTTTGATATGAATCATGCTGATTATGTATGATCTTACTCCTCATTTTAACCTATGCCGTTTGACATAAAATATACCTTCTATTAACTAAACCTCTAGACTGACCAAATATGTGACAAAATGAGATATTAAAAAAAATCAACGTAAAGCTAACTGTTAGTGAAACGTAGATGTCACTTATCTTATAAGTGTAAAATGTTTAATGCTACTTGATAAATAGCATAAAGTTTACTAATTCAGAAGTCAAACAACAAAAATCAGCGTTATATTTACAAAATTTTCACAGGACTAATTTCGATGGTTTTACCGAACCATCATCTTCAGCTGCAAAACCGCAAATGAACAAGATAGGAAATAATGATTAGATAAGATAAGAAAGCCTGGACAAGAATAAGCAAGTGGCGCCATCTTTTGGCGAAACCAGAACTAAAACATAATTTCTCTAAAAGCCAAAGGCAAATTTGGATTGGAATTAGGATCGTTAACTAGAACAGAAAGATTTTTATATGTGAAATGCCTCTCGAAAATCCAGTTCTCCAATGGAAGATGTTTTTTGAATAATTTTGGCAGCAGAAAAATTGAAAGTGTGATTTTCGGACCAACAATGTTGAGCAACAGAAGACTTCTGTGTTTCCTTTTTTCTAACATATGCCTCATGTTCTTTGACGCGAAATTTTAAGGCTCTCTTAGTTTGGCCAATGTAAATTAAACCACACTGGCAAGGAATCCTATAAATATCCCAGGAATTCATATCCGGAATGGGATGCTTGAGTATGGAACTCGAAATTTTATCGATGGGAGAATAAACAACCTGAAAGTTAAATTTCTGCACCATATGTGCAACTTTATAGCTAATTGATGGAAAGAAGGGAATGACAACAGAATTTTTATAATCTCCTAAAATAAGAGTGTGGCTTTTAGTTTGTTCAGATGAGAATTTTTTAACTGCTTGATTAATAATGTTGGGTGAAAAGCCCCTGTCAATAGCTATTGCTTTTAAATAATTTAGTTTCTTCATCAAGGGCTAAATTTGGAGGAGCAAACTTGAAGAGCACGGAAAACATAGGAATAAAATGAAGCTAACTTTTGTTTAGTCGGATGACATGATTTAAAGTGTGGTGGAAGGCAAACCGATGAAGGTTTACAGTAAACTGTAGTACTGAAGTTGGATGTGTTCGTGTGACCAGAATGTCGAGAAACGGAAGAGAATTGCAAGTCTCAAGTTCAAAAGTGAACTGAATAGCAGGATCAATAGAATTCATTGTTGAAAGAACTTTATTTAAATCATCTTTATTACCTTCAAACAGGGTAAAAGTAACGTCTACGTAGCAGAACCATGCCGGGAAGTTTAAAGTTTCAAACAATTTTGATTCATAATAATGCATGTAGATATCAGCCAGGATGGGACTGAGGGGGCTTCCCATGGCTAATCCCTCAGTTTGCTTGTAATATTTATTTTGGAAAACAAAATGTGTTTGTTTCAAATACAAAACAACTCATCAGTTGAGTGAGAGAAATTAGCTCATCAATTTCGATGCAAGAGAAATGAAATTCGCGAAGTCTGGTTTCTAGACATCTTAATGCACCCTCCACTGGGACATTGGTGAATAATGATTTTACATCAAAAGAAACCATGAGTAAATTACTAGGAAAAATGTTTTTAACCTTTTTTACAAACTCTATTGAATTTTTTATGGTGTAAAATGTTATTGTCTAATAGAGTGGAAATCTAGAAACTAAATATTTAGCTAATGGATACGAGGCAGTACCTAAATTTGATACAATAGGGCGGAAAGGAATACCACTTTTATGAATTTTGGGAATTATGCTGAAACGGCAAAATTCCTGAATAATCTTGACTTTTACTTAAATGTAAATGTAAAAATTGATCCCCAATTTATTCAAATCAAATCTAATCAAAAACCTTCGAGTCGCGTTTCAAGAATTCTGTTAAATTGCAAGCTTGCCTTACTTCGGTCCGTGATAAGGGATACACGTCAACATTGTCCCAAAATTGAACATGAACTCTATAAGCTTCATCTGGAACTCGCTAAATCATATCCAAAATTCCTGCCCTGAACAAAAGTCTTGGTCTAGAACGGAGAATGCAGTTAACCGTCATAAAACACCCTTGCAGTTAAATTCGAAAAACTTCTTTACAGTCTTCCAGTTCAAGTAGTTCAAAAAATCTTCCCATTGTAAACATCAAGCCAATAGTTAATATTTCTAATGTTAGTCTTTCAGAGAACAAGAGAGAATTCTAAATTATAATTTTAACTTCTCACAAACCTGTAAACCCTCGATTCCAAAGATTTTGGCTCCTATCGAAAAAGCTTTCAAGTTCAGTAAAGTTTCAGATTCACAGAAAGAAATGATTAGGCATCTTAGCGCTCATAATGTGAAATTCAATAAATAAACCTTTGAAACCAAATCTAACTGCGAGAGAAAGAGCTACAATGCGTGAAATTCATTCTAATTCAGACATTATCCATTTCAAAGGCCGAAAAAGGCGGCCAGATAGTCGTCCTGGGCATAAAACACTTACATCAATGGTGTCACTAAAGTCTTAAACGAAGGACCATATAATCCATTCCCTAAAGACCCTTCACCTTCGGACCGCTCAGAAATAAAATCTGCAATCTGCGATCAAGTCTTCATAAATCATTTCATATGACCAGCTTAAAACAGTCGCTCATCTATCTGTTGCGAATTGCTCAAGATTATATGCTCTTCCCAAAAGTTCATAAAAGTGGTATTCCTTTCCGCCTAATTGTATCAAATTTAGGTACTGCCTCGTATCCATTAGCTAAATATTTAGTTTCTAGATTTTCAACTCTATTAGACAATAACATTTACACCATAAAAAATTTCAATACAGTTTGTAAAAAAAGGTCTCTCCTAGAAACCATTTCTCCTAGAAATTTACTCAAGAATCATTCCTAGAAATTACTTTGATGTAAAATCATTATTCACCAATGTTCGAGTGGAGGGTGCATTAACATGTCTAGAAAACCAGACTTTCGCGAATTTCATATTCTCCTGCATCGAAATTGATGAGCTAATTTCTCTCACTCAGCTCCGTTTGAAACAAACGCATTTTGTTTTCCAAAATAAATATTACAAGCAAACTGAGGGATTAGCCATGGGAAGCCCCCTTCAGTCCCATCCTGGCTGATATCTACATTCATTACTATGAATCAAAATTATACGAAACTTTAAATATCCCAGTATGGCTCCGCTACGTAGACGATATTTTTACCCAGTTTGACTGGAATAATCAGGCTTTAAATAAAATTCTTTCAGTAATGAAGTCCATTGATTTTGCTATTCAGTTCACTTTTGAAATTGAGACATGCAATTTTCTTCTTTTCCGTTTCTCGACATTTTGGTCACACGTAACACATCCATCTTCAGTACTACTATTTACCAGTAAACCTTCATCAGTTTGCCTTCCACCACACTTTAAATCATGTCATCCGACTAAACAAAAGTTAGCTTCATTTTATTCCTATGTTTTCGTGCTCTTCAAGTTTGCTCCTCAAACTAGCCTTGATGAAAACTAAATTATTTAAAAGCAATAGGCTATTGACAGGGGCTTTTCACCCAACATTATTAATCAAGCAGTTAAAAATTTTCATCTCAACACACTAAAAGCCACACTCCTTATTTTAGGAGATTATAAAAATTCTGTTGTCATTCTCTTCTTTCCATCAATTAGCAGAAAGTTGCACATTTTGCAGAAATTAACTTTCGGTTGTTTATTCTCCCATCAATAAAATTCCAACTTCTATACTCAAGGACCCCATTCCGGATATGAATTCCTGGGGTATTTATAGGATTCCTTGCCAGTGTGGTTTAATTTACATTGGGCCAAACTAAGAGAGCCTTAAAATTTCGCATCAAAGAACATGAGGCATATGTTAGAAAAAAGGAAACACAGAAGTCTTCTGTTGCTCAACATGTTGGTCCGAAAATCACACTTTCAATTTTTCTGCTGCCGAAATTATTCAAAAACATCTTCCATTGGAGAACTGGATTTTCTAGAGGCATTTTTACATTCATAAAAATCTTTCTGTTCTAGTTAACGATCCTAATTCCAATCCAAATTTGCCTTGGCTTTTAGAGAAATTATGTTTAGTTCTGGTTTCGCCAACAGATGGCGCCACTTGCTTATTCTTGTCCAGGCTTTCTTATCTTATCTAATCATTATTTCCTATCTTGTTCATTTGCGGTTTTGCAGCTGAAGATGATGGTTCGGTAAAACCATCGAAATTAGTCCCGTGAAAATTTTGTAAATATAACGCTGATTTTTGTTGTTTGACTTCTGAATTAGTATTTATTCGGCGTGTTATTGTGTCTTAAGCATAAAGTTTATTTTATTCTGAAACTTATTAACAAATATGTTAATTAATGTTTAGTAATAATGCATGCTACTTAGGGATCTATTTTACTTTTAGGATGGTATTAAGTGAAATTCAGGCATAGCTAATAATTTTAATTGAATTTATCATTTTCCATTTGCTCATAGGTCCTTAAAATTTTCATTAATGGTCCTTAAAAGTACATAATTTCCGTGTGCAGAAATGTGTACGAATCCTGATATATCATTTAGAGAGAAATATGGTGTTATTTTATTATTTATAATTGAATTTGGCATTAAGAGTAATTTTTGGAGTATGCATAAAATCAGTGCAGTGTTATGCTTTCAGTTCAGTTTCATTGAACACTTTGCTCTGAATTTATAATTTTTTGGAATATTTTAATTCAATGGTTTGAAATTCTGATGTTATTAGGTGTCGGGCAACATAATAATATAGAATAGCTAACTAAATTTTATCTTTTGGGTTGTACAAATATTTATGCTATTATTTCTTTTTAGATACAACCACCTTCCTTGAGCAGTGTTTTGGATATGCTGAATATCATAAATGGAATCTTGTTTGTACAAATCAGGTATTTTATATCTTTACTTAATTCTTTAATTTTTTAATGAGCATTCAACTTGTTTTTGAGTGAAATAATGCTGTTATAAAACAGTGTATATTTTGAAACAATAGAGCATTACATTTTTGCAAAATGCATAAGCCGTAATAAAAAATTGTACTGTAATTTCTTGGTTTTAAAGTTTCATTTTTGTATTTTATGTGCAGATGGCTTTTAGCAGTTTATTACTTAATATTCAATTAAAATAAATTTATTCAAATATTAGTTTTAGATACCAGAAACAATTTTTTGTGAAATGATCATTATGTGATTAATATGAAATGATTTTTGTGAAATGGTCATCATTGGCAAGAATTAAAGTTGAAGGACTTGATTACTTCTATAATCTCATGAAAAGTACAAAACATGTACTTCCTTATATTTTTATTATGATTCTGTTATTAAAAGTATATGGAATTATAAGTTATTATATTGCTGAGAATAAGTGAAACAAAATTTTTATTTAAAACAATTGAAGTAATTTTTTATGTGAAGTAATATTTATTTTCTTTTTTATGCTAGCCAACAAGATATTGAAAATTTTAGGGCTGAATTTGAACGCCGGCAACAGAAAGACTCTGATACTGCAAAAAAGACTGACTCGGATATTGAGGCAAATAATGTTTCAGAAATAATTGAAATGCCTAGCTGTGTTTCAACAAGGTAACTTCCAGTTGATCCTAATTAGAATTGCAAGCACAAAAGCTAGATTGCTTTTTTTTTCCCTCTTGTGGATAACTGCCATGAGCATTCAAGACTGTAGAACATTTAGTATTTCAAAGATCATGGTTAAATAAATGGTTAAAGAGAAAATCATGGTTAAATAGGAATAAATTGAATCTGCTTACCTGAATGAAGGAGAAAGTGGTTATTTCTTCTGCCAGTGCCATGAGTGATATGTCCAGGATCTTATGTGCAATTCATGCAACTTATTTGTAATTAAAATTTTTCATAATTTTTATTAATGTAAAAAAGCTGGCCTTTGGTCTTCGTGGTTTTTTTTTTTTTTTTTTAAAGCTTTTTTTTCTGAAAAATTTAAATGCAATCAAGAAATCAAAAGCATCAAGTTATATTTTTATGATAATCAGTTATTGTTGTGTTTAAATTAGTGTAAGGTTGTACAAACACATGAACTGAGTTACTGAGTGGTGCCGTTTCTCTTGTGTGCTGTTTTCATATGGAATTTGATTATTTTCATGCACCATCTTCATAATGTGAAATTTGAATGTGTGGATGTAGATATTAGTTTGTTTTGTTTCTAAGATAGTAGATAATTATTCAGAGTAGGGACTTTAAAGCTAATATAATTTAAACTTAGGATATTTCATATATATTAGTCTCTCTTCAATTTCGTATTAAATTTTTAATGACATTGTTTTTGTCAGTTTTGGAATAATGGTTTTGACTTCAAAATTTGCAAAGGAAACTTAGATTTTTATTGCATTGTCTTAGGAATGAGGAAAATCTTTTCTTTGCTTAGTATATTAAATAGACTAAGATCTGATCTGGTTTTTGATTTATTAATTTAATTTGCTCAATCTTTTACATGTATTTGTTTCTTTTGAACTACAAAGCCTTATCTTTTAAACCAATCGAACAAGTATTTTGTGTATGTTTAATTAGATATTCGCAAGATCAATATGTATTTCTTTTATTCTTTATTTGTACATTCTTTGTTTTCGAGTAGCGAGAATGTTTTTTGTGAAATTCTTCCATATCTGCATACAGTCATTTTTAAAACTGCATGGATTGATTTCTTTGAAAGTTGAAACTATTTATTATTTTTAATAAAAATGTATTTAAAAATGTGATTAAATGTAGAATATAAGTAATTTAAAAATGTTATGTTGCAAGCTTGAAGAAAAAAATTAAAAAAATTTGTTATTTAAGTTTTCTATAATTCGAAAATTAGCTGTACTATATATTTGTATTTGTAAATGGCAACTGTTTCAACTGAATTCTAATGTGAAAGCTGCAGTAAGTGTTGACCTTTATGAAATATATGTTTTCCGAAAAGTGAACTGTATTCTCCTGGTGTGTGCATAAAATATCATTTAAAAATCAAGAAAAGATATGGTACTTTTGATTATATGCATCCCTACAAAAGGCTGCTAATTAATATGCAATTTTGTGAACTGCAAAATGTGTAATCAGCTATCTTTAAAGCTTATAGGTATGGCTTTGTTCATAAATAGATATAGATATATAGATATATATATATATATAGCAAGCAGATTCTGTTCAGCTGTGTCCATCATTTAACTTTTGTCAATGTCAGTACTTGACAATTCATATTAAAAACACAATTTCAAGTATCAGATGTGTAAATCAGTATCATCATTGTTGATGAATTATATACATTAAACGAGCATAGCATTTAATTTGTAGGATTTAAATAAATAAAGCAATTTTCATAATAATTTTTGCTATTGATAGTCAGGTATAATTTTTGCTATCCGCTACCAAAGACTGCATTTTTACTAGAAGTAATTTAATGTTGAAACCGGGGGTGCAGATAAGCAGAAAGTACCAGAGCTATTCTTCACAGGTATGCTCAAGTTTCTGTGTGTTGATATTAAGAATATGTTTACCAGATTAATATAAAAATTTGATAATAAATGTGCTAACTTTTTTTACACTTGGAAGAAACTGATAAAAATTCCTTAGTGAAAGGCTGAAAAAAAAAATAGTCTATATTGTTTGACTTGTTATAAATCTGTATTAAAAATTTAAAACGCTTTTATTTTAATATAATTTTGAATTGTTTCCTTAATATTTTTATTGGATTAGTAAATTTTTGCCATTAAGACCTAATCTTACATTGTTTGGCATTATTTATCACTTTTTATACTTGTTTGAAAGAAATTTTATTAGAATTTGTGTACAATAATCTTTGTAAATATGGGAAAATTTGCACAATTTATTGCAGCAAATACAAATGAATAATTTTACTGTTATTGCAGTTTTTAATACTTTGTAAAATTATGTGCAATATTACATTTGTTATTTATTTATAGTATGTAACAAATGTATAAAAATCTGTATTTAATGAAATTTTGCATAATTATTTTTAAAAGGTATGGTTTTGTGAAATTTTCTTGATATAAGCTAAAACAAAAATTGTTGATTTTTGTAATAATTCAGGACATAAAATTTGCATGAAGCAATTCTTTCTAGAAATCTCATGGGACCTAATGTTTTACTGTTGTAATACAAATTTAAAATAAAAGTTTGTAAAAATATGCATTTTTCTTATTTTATTATGAAACATGATGATATGTTGGTTTAGCTCTTGAATCTCCTATTACAACACATAAACGTCAAAATATACTTCTGCATAGTATTTTTCTGTTTCTAAAACAGGCGTGTCTTTTCTCTTGAATTCCTTATCGTACATGTTTCTGTATAGATTATGTGTATATGTGAGAAAATTTATTCTTTTTTGGAGGCATGTAATCTAACCTAAGATATTGTATTTATGGATTGGTTTCTATAATTGTATAAGTAGAGTACTAAAGATGATTTGCAGAAAATAGGATTAGCTATCACAAACAGTTTTAAAATACACAAAATGATTTATTTAAAGATAATTTCTGAAAATAAATGCATTGTGCTTGACCGTTATTGAAATCCAATTTAACTGTAGATCTTTCTTTTTCTCTCCCATGAATACCCAACTATATTAGTGTAAAAATGAAATTATTTCTATTTCATTATTTGTTTTTCTCAAATGCTGTATTCTATAATTTTAAGTTCTTTCTTTTTTAAAGTGTATGTTGTGATCAGTGTGAATCAATGAGCTATTTCACTTTTAAAGCACTATAAGATTATAGAAATTACAGATTAATAAATTATTTATTATAAAAAATAATACAAAAAAATTTTTAGAACCTTATGGAGTGAGGATTTTAAAAATTTAGAGACATTCGTTTTCCTTGTGGACTTGCGAAAGATATTGGAGAATTAAATTTTTATGCCCAGACGACAATCAGTAAAGCAGAAATGGCAAATGAATAAAACAGTTCTATCAAAAATTTTTGTATTAGCATTGCATGCAGATGAGCATGACCCTTATCTGGTCATAACGAAGCAGACTTGTCTGCCTTATCAGCTGGAGCTATGCAATAATTGCTTTAATTTTGCAATCATTTGAAATGCAGTGAATAAACGTCTAAGTTTGAATTTGTATCTAAATATCTGGTAACAGTAGAGCTTGGTTAATTTGTTTATTTGGATATGGTAAAGCACACAAGGGTTATCTGCTTAAGGGAAGAATGTCTGATGATAAACTGGCTTGTACTCACATTATACATGGGCAAAAACCATGTCGCCAGCACATTTGCCTGGGTTTGAAACCAGGATCAACACTCGGTATTCAGTTATCTTTAAACATTGGACCACTGGTTGGTTGATAACAGTATAGAGACAAAGTGTTATAAGTTACATTTCTCCATCTAAATGGTATTTTGAATTCGTTCATTTTTTTGAAGAGGTGAATATATTGAGAGTTAAATGCACAAGAGCAAAATTAATAAAAATCGAAAAGTAAAACTTTAATCACCTAATTACTGTTTGTGAAGGTAGCAAATACATTTATTCATGAAAGAAAATGAGCAGTACGCATTGTATAAAGATGAATATCGTGATGTCGCATTTGGGTCATTAGCAAATTGATATTCAAAGCTAAAAACAAATAAATAAAACTTATTGTAATAAAGTATATCACCACAGAATTTAGTAATAGACATTGGAACTTCAAATGTGCCGACTGGCAAGCTTTCACTGATCGAACTGAAAGTTTAAGTGTGTGCGAAACCCCTTTCTGATAACCTAGAGACTGACTGGCTGTTCTTCAAGCGGATCATTTACAGTGTTGCTGGCCAGTCCATTCGTAGGGGTAAATTTAAAAGAAAAAAGCTTAACTTAACCAGTAAGATGCCTGTTTTCCAGCCCCTGATTATGGAGAGAACACAAATACTGAGTGATCTGGATTCTGACCATAGTGACAGTAACAGAATCGAACTAAATGGAGTGAATGCACAATTAAAAAAGATGTACACACAGATCAAGAGAGTTAAGTGAAATGAACTTTGTGCCGGTCTGGATTCAAGATCATCTAACAGTAAATTGTGGAAGCTTGTGAAGGGCATTAGTAAAGAACAGCCGTAATTTGAAAAGTGCAACACTATTTATTCTAGGAATGGAGTCTTGGCTCAGAATGATGAACAGGCTGCTAACATTTTAGGGGAGCATTATCAATTAATGAATACTCTGAATTTCACTGACAACGACAAGTATGTGAAGACCGTAGTGAGTAATGTTCATGGTTGTTGTAGTAATCCTCATGTGGGCCCATCTATTTTCAGCAGAGCCTTCAGTTCAGGAACTTGATATTGCGATCTCAGGTTCGAAATTAAATTCTTCAGGTGGGCCAGATAGTATTCACGGTGAAATGATATTTCATTTGAGTCCACATGGAAAACTGATACTTTTTAGGCATCATGAACGACTCCTGGAGACTGGGTCGTCTTTCTAGTGATTGGAAAAAGCCAGTTGTGGTGCCTATTAGAAAACCTGGTAGGGACATAGCTTCTGCTGAGAGTTTTAGACCCATTGCTTTGACTTCCATCTCATGTAAAATTATGGAGAAAATGGTTTTAAAGAGACTCTCTTTTTATTTAGATTCCCACAACTTTCTCCCGATGGAGCAATATGGTTTTAGAGAAGGACGTAGCACAATTGACCAGGTGCTTTATTTTTTAGCTAAAGAGTCAGAGATGCTCATAACAAGAAACCTACACATCACACTATAGCTGCCTTCCTGGACCTTTCTAAGGCCTTTGACAGAGTTTGGATGCAGAGGCTGATTGCCAAATTATATGATAAGTTTGGCATACATGGTAGAGCACTGTCTTGGATTTATGATATTTTAAGAAATAGATGAATTAGGGTGAGGTTCAATGGTTCGACCTCAAATAGTTTTCGAGTGAACGGGCTCGTGAATGCACAGGCACTCCTTTGGTTGTTATGTGGTGCTTCACATAATGTTTACTTGAGGTATATGAGTTAAATCTGGGTAAAATTTAAATAATTCATAAAACTTTGATTTATGGTTATTATTCAGTGTGCTGTTGATGTGTTCATCTGAGACAGACCTAACTGCAGCCTTTACAGATAATTGAGTAACACCATCGATAAATTTTCTGTTATGAACATCAATAAGTAGTTGAAAATGATTTAGAAAATCATCTCCAATGATACCTTTATTAGCCTTTGCGATGAGAAAGGGCCCTTGAAATGGTCGTCTGAGTCCGAAATCAAGATTTAGAATTTTTACACTATAAGTTGGGATCTCTGGGCCATTGGCAGCATATAATGTATAGGAACATGGCATAGTTCCTGCTGTAGTTGCCGGTATTAGGGATACGTCAGCTCCACTGTCCACTAAAAACCGTAATCCCAATTTTTTGTTGGTGATATGTAGTCCAAATTTAATTATAATTGCTTGCAGTAGAACTGGCTGTGGAGTTTACTGCTGATTTTCGTTCCCGACTATTTCCATTCACAAGGTTGTTTACATTTTTCAGGATAGCATTTAGTGCCAAATTTAAAATGGTAATAACCTTTTCCATCGAATTTCTTTCTTGACTTCAAACGGCTACTGAAGTTGCGAGTCCATGGTCTAGAGTTCCAGGCAGTGCTGCTGTCAATTTGGAACTCTAATAATTCAATTTTCTGCTTCCACCAGTGTATTTTTGCTGACTGCAGCCGATTCCTGGCGTGAGTTTAGTTCCACAGTTCTATCAGCCATTGTGGCCAACTTGTCCAGAGTTTTGTCACTAACCACTAGAATGTTTTCTTACAGCATCTGGCATCTTTTCCAACCACGTAGAAATCATGTAGAAATAATCATAGACATGACTTAGCTTTTCTTAGTTTTGAATTGACATAATATTATTTACATTTTTAGTTTAAAAGGATAATCATTTAAACAACAATATTCTATTACAGCCGATTCAAAAGTTCTCAAAAAATCAAGTTCTAAATAAAAATGCAAGGAGGTTAGAATAGAAGGAGGAAAGGTTCAACTCACATGGTGAAGCTTGGGTGCCATGTTACTGTTATTGCTGTGACTTGTGCAATGAAGTCTGTAATTGTGACATTTTTTTAGTTTCTTTTTTAAAGTATGTCAGCTTGTGTTGCATATGGATGCACAAATAGATTTCGAAAAAGATTTCTGGGATTATTTTTCATGCGTAAGTATTGATTTCCTTTTTTTTATGTAATTTGATAAATATGTTAAATATCACAATGTAATGTTGTTTTCTTTCCAGATTTGAAAAAAAAAAAAAAAAAAAAAAAAAACAGGACTTCATAATAATCCAAATATGTTAAATACATTTTAATGTTTCTGTTTATAGCTGGTATCTTCGTTCTTAACATACAATGATATATGCTAGGATTTAAATTGTATAATTTGAACGTTTTAGGTAATTCGTTTTATAATTTTCATGGAAAGTAAGAAATTAATTGTTACTATTTTTATGAATTGTAAAAGTGTTAAATAAAGTAATACTTTTATTTATGTATTAATTATTATGCATTTTTAAGTTTCGTGAACTGTTATGGATATAATTTCTGCATTTGATGAAGATAAACTGTTCTGTTGTTAAAAATTTTTTGCATAAACTTACAAATTTCTGAGCAGTATAGTGATAAAAGTAAGTAAAATACTCGTATTAACACAATTGAACATGTGGAAAGACGTATCCAAGAATTTATAGAGGTATATTTTCTGTAATTCAGCTTAATTCAAGGCAATTTCTATGAGATTCATAAATATGAAACGCGGATAAACTGATATCACTAAATTCACATAAATCTGTTTTATTTTATTAATATTTATTTTTTTGTTGTTGGCTGTGACAAGGATACATTTAAAGCTTTCATTTTAAGAAAATGCAACCTGTGACTGTTTTTTAGATAATTATTGCTTAATTATGTGAATTTCTGTTTTAGTGTATTTCAGCTTAAATCTGAAGTATTTAAGCATACTCAAAAATATAACTTTCTTTTCCTCCTATTCTAACCTCCTTGTAAAAATGCAAATTGTACGGTTATCGTCTGGTCTTATTTCTGTTGCCAAAAGAGCTCGAATCAATACCTGTTTTCTTTTTCTCCTTTTTACTTCCTTGTACGAAGTAAAAAGGAAGTATTGTAATCTCGAAAATTTTCAAGCATC